ACACACACACACACACACACACACGCACACACACACGCACACACTTCATTGTTTCACAACGGCCCAAATTAAGCAGAAATCTCCAGCAGAGTCATCTAAAAACTCCTAAATCAGTCAGTATTTTCTAGACAAGCAGTAAATATAGTGTTGTGTTCAGAAGTAACGAGTTAAACTGAAGAGAGTTTCTCATTTAAACAAGCAGAATAATCTGCCAATGGTGTTTGTAATCTTGTTTTCACTTTAAAATCAGATTATCCTGCTTGTTTTAATGATAAACTCACTTTATTTTGACTCAATATTGCTGAACACAACACTATATTTGTTCCTTGTCTATAAAATGCTTCCTGATTTCATGTTTTTATCTATTTGGACCAGAAACTCTGAGTAAAACAGCATGTTCAGCGGTGTATAATCAGATCAGATCTGCAGGAGTACTGTTTCCTCTGATTGGCCATTACCCAGGTTTATTCTAATGGGGATAGCGCTGGAGCTGCTGTGTCGTCCTCCAGTCCTCTAGTCTTGGTTTCTCCAGAATATGGATGTCAAAGGATCCGCTTGGTGTGATAACCCCTGCAGGAAACCTGATCCAGTGTGAATGCACTCATTGTTTGGTGATTAGGCATGACAGTGGAGGCGTGAACAGATTCCCATCATTACATTAAGAAGCGCATTAGGATCGACGACGCGTCCGCTCAGACTCACTGTCTGTCTGCTGCAGTACACTAACACTGGACACAAGACCAACACCAGAGTACTGCAGCGGCTCTACAGAGAACATCTGAGTCTGTCTGTTCACTCACTCTGCTTCAGCTGACTCACTTATTCATCAGCGGTCGCCACAGCGGAATGAACCGACAGAATAATGCAGTATGAAGTATTCCAGCATCTGTTTTACACAGCACATGTCCTTCCATCTGCAGCTCAGTACTGGAAAACACACTCATTCACACACAAACACACACACACACACACACACACACACACACACACACACACACACACACACACACACACACACACACACACACACACACAGTTGTGCTTCAGATAGCTGTCGACAACACAGATGACTTGGCATTTATTTCCAAGCAATTGGGTTGATCCTCAGAGATGCTCCAGCAGGCTTCAGGACTGAACTCTGGATCTCTCAGTGTTTCCTTTATATGAATTTCAGAGGTCAATGAGTCTCTAAAGGTCAAAAACAAACAACAAAACAGTGGAACAGATGCTGCAAAGCTTCCCCAAGCCCCCCGCAATCACAGTGCCCAAACCTAGATCCCTCCATCAGTAACTCACGCATTCATGATGAAGTCCTGAACAAACTGCTGCACAATTCACAGAAATCTGCTGTAATATCTGTCATTTTAGTCACAAAATCTGTTGGTGTTTCTGTGTGGAGTTTGCATGTTCTCCTATAGGGGAACTGATCAACTACACTGGCCGTAGTGTATGAGTGTGTGTGAATGAGTGTGTATGGGTGTTTCCCAGTACTGGGTTGCAGCTGGAAGGGCATCTGCTGTGTATAAAATATGCTGGAATAGTTGGCGGTTCATTCCGCTGTGGCGAGCCCTGATAAAAAGGGACTAAGCTGAAGGAAAGTGACAGTCAGGTGGTGAGTTTGAGGAAGATGCTCTTGATGGAGTTGTTTTCAGTCTCGTGTCTCCAGCTTTATCGAGTTTTCTCCTCCAGACAGTGAGGATGATCATGCGCTCCTCCAGAATATCCAGCATTATTCCTCTTCTGATGCAGTTCTCGAGTTGTAGGGCCGAGTCTGAGATGAAGGGAGCGCGGGGGATTGTGGTGTCAGCGCTGAACGCTCACTCCTGCGGGACGGGTGTCAGTAATCAGGGCTGACGTTCGGATCGTCCTCCACTGAAATCAGCAGAAAATCTCTTCCAGAACGCTCAGCACATCTTGAGCACATTGCAGAGGTCGAGGGGGACTGCGGAGTGTGTGCTGGAGTCCGGCTAAACGCACACAGCCGCCGGACACGTGTGCAGAATCACCGCTGTTTAGACTGCAATCGGATCACTTTTAGCAGCCGTGATTGAGCCGCTGTTAGGATCAAGGCAAACTAAACATAATGCAGTTTAAGAGAGGAAGGCCGAGGCTCCGGGGTCAGAGCTGCGACTCTCTTTCTCTGACAGAGCCGTAAATTACTGCTTCAGTCAAAGCAAAATATCTCAAATTCCTGCCCTGCAAAAAAAAAAGAAGACAAGAGAGGGTTTCTTACATGTTTCAGTCCAAATATCTAAAACTTCCTACATCGAGAGGCGTTTCTAGACGAGCACAGAAACATGTCGTGCTGTTTTCAGAATACACACTGCAAACAACGCTGCTCTTACTCAGAGTGTTTGTCTGGTTTTAGTCCCAATATCTCAATAAATCTATCTAGAAACTCTTATATGAAGAAGCATTTCTAGACCAGCAGAACATTATGCTTTCAGAAATATTGTGCCAAAACTGAGTCAGTTTTTCCTTAAAACAAGCAGAATAATGTGACGGTGGAGCGAGCAGAATCATCTTGCTTTTCTTGTGAAATCAGATTATTTCTCTTCCCGCATGGTCAGATTATTCTGCTTGTTTAATGAGAAACTCTCTTCATTTTGACTTATTGTGTCTGAACACAACACTGTGTGTTTTGCTCGTCTGGAAAATGCTTCTTGATTTAAGAATTTTTAGATATTTGGACTAGAAACGGGACACAATCTGAGTAAGAGAAGCATTGCTTGCAGTGTAATGTTAAAAAAGTAAAATATAGTAAAAGAAAAATCCTAAAAAAACCAGAGAAACACTCAGAAACATTTTATAATAACTACATATTATGAATGATTTCTTGAGCATCTCTTCCTCTGTTCAGCAGGAACTCTGCATTAATAAACATCAGTAAGCGGTTTATAACTGCAGCTACTCATGCTGAACTCTTGACATGAGAAGACCCACACGGGATCTGCGCGCGCAGAATTCTGCAGATCTTTAGCCCATCATTAATTCTGTTTATTTACTCCAGTAAATGTTTGTAAATCTATATTTATTCCGTTTTTAAATTAATTTTTAGTAAGATTATTGACTGATATGAACATATTTACCGGATTAATGTACAATATAGTGTGTACAGTCACATTTTCTGTCTTTTACTGGAGATATTATATGAGAGACTTTACCAAATAAAGTGAATCTAATTGGATTTTGTAAACATTAAAGAAAAGTTAAAACAGTATTATTTGTTATTTTACATATTGAGATTTTAGTTATGATACTCTTAAAATCATTCCACAGAAATCTGCAGATTTTTACCAAAGATTCCGTCTGGCCCTGCTAATACCCACACGCTTTCTGTGCTGAATAATTATACTTTCATACTTTGATAATGGTTATTTTTTCATTACTAAATTCAGTATTGCATTATTTACAAACCATTTAGATCAGATTAGATTCAACGTTATTGTCATAAATTTATTGTCTAAATCTAAACCATTTGTATTTGAGAGTTGCTGCTTTTTTAAGATCATTCAGAATGAGTGAGTAACTGTTATGAATGAATGAATAACACTGATTCAGGCATATGCTGATAATTCATTTGTTGTTAATAAATGCTTTATTTACTCAACTTGATGCTGTTTTTTTTAGCTAATCTAAAGTGAGGACTGTTCATGCCTTATACATCCCTTATAAATGACTATTACAGGCTCAGTTATATTCTAAACTGGAAAACACACACATGACGGACTTTCTTCATTTATATCATGTGAAGATCCACAAATAAAATGCATCAAACGACAAATAAATCTCTGCAGCCTTATCTAAAGTTAAATGACTGCACAGGTTAGACATTGCATCTTATTATATTGTTAAATCATTATATTGTTTTTCTTTTATCCAAACTAGATTACTCTGCGTCCCCATGGTCAGATTATTCTGCTGTTTTAATGATGGCTCATTATTTCTGAACACAGCACTTTATTGTTTACTACACTGTCAGATATGAAGGCAGTGAGCGCTCACTGGGCTGGAACCTTTTCAAAAGATGCTAAATTGTACCAAAAAGCTCCAAATTAATACCTCAAGGGTACATATTAGTACCTAAATAGTACAACAGTGTTCCTCGTGAATTTTATTACTAATATATGCGTTTGAGGTAGCAATATGGACTCTTTAAGTACACTAATGTCCCTTTATTTCTGAGAGTGTGGTCTGGAAAATGCTTCTTGATTTGGGAATGTTTAGTCTAGAAACAGACAGAGACTCTACTAAGTACATATTTTTTTGTAATATGCCATATATTTATTCTTCAGACGTTTCTCTGATGCTTCTTTTGCGTCAGGTCTTCAGGAATAAGCTCCTGCAGCTGCAGTAAAGCGCAGTGAAGATCAGCTGTGATCAAGTGTGGCGTGTCAGGCAGAGCTGCGAGTCACTGAACTTGGTTTTAGCTGTAAACCGTCGTCTAATTGAACGTCAAACACCTGAAGGTGGTCAAACAGAGGAGCAGGCGAGAGCCAATCAGAGTGCTGGAACGGCAGCCGCTCCTTCACGTGTTCTGGAGACGGAGATGGAGATGGATGTGTTGTTTGTTTTAGTTTGAGGCGAAAGGACATATTTTACACTGAGAGGTGACAGGCCGGCCTGAGTTACGGCTTTTGAAGAGATCGTTTGAAGTGATCCTCTCTCTGTCTTATCTTCAGCAGGACTGAACTTGCTGCAACACACACACACACACACACACACACACACACACCAGCCCTCGGCGTCAGGGCAGAGCACAGCCTGAGCGGTGTGTGTTTCTGCTGATCCTCCTCTGAAGATCAGGACTAGATATCAGACTGCAGGAAGCCACTTGTTTCAGCCACAGTTCAGCAGAGCTACGACTGTCCAGCACATCTCCTCAATGAAGACCAGTGGAGCACATCTCCTCCTGAAGGCCAGAGGGCGCTCTCGAGGAAACCCCCGCATCTGAAGAGACCTGAGGAAGACAGCGTGTGCTGAATAAGCAGAGGAGTTACCTGCGTTCATGTGTTCATCCTCCATGGGCAGAGCGAGGCTTCGGGAAACACTCAAACAGCCGAAGCGAACATGTCGAGGATTAGAAACGTTTCACAGCTCGGCTCTACACTGACACCTAGTGTTCTGTTCCAGGTATTGCTCTGACAGCACTGCAACAGAGGAACAGGTGTGTGTGAGTGAGGAACGGCAGCCTGCAGTGAATGAACCGACAACTATTCCAGCATATGCTTTACACAGCAGATGCACTTCCAGCTGCAACCCAGTACTGGGAAACTCCCATAAACACTCATTCACACACACACTTATACACTACGGCCAGTGTAGTTGATCAGTTCCCCTATAGCGCATGTGTTTGGACTGAAACCGGAGCACCCGAAGGAAACCCACGCCAACACGGGGAGAACATGCAAACTCCACACAGAAACACCAACTGACCCAGCCGAGACTCAAACCAGAGACCTTCTTGCTGTAAGGCCACAGTGCTGACCACTGAGCCACCTCCTCAGACACAAATGAAGATATGTTAGGTGACGCGTGTCAAACTGAACACGACCTGAAACATCTTCATTCATGACCCTGTAAAAGCCTCAGCTGCAGATCTCCACATCTCCTGATCCACTGCAATGAGGACAGCAGGTCACGAAGGGTTTATCAGTGTGTGTGTGTGTGTGTGTGTGTGTGTGTGTGTGTGTGTGTGTGTGTGTGTGTGTGTGTGTGTGTGTGTGTGTGTGTGTGATCAGTGTTTTCAGATTCTCATGAGCAGAAACACAATCAGACGCTCAGTTCTGGGTCTCGAGGAGCGACTGGCAGATCTGGA